TAATAATAATAATAATAATAATAATAATAATAATAATAATAATAATAATAATAATTAATAATTAAATAATAATAATAATGATAATAATAATAACAATTATTATTATTATTGCTATCATTATTATTATTGTTACTAATAATAATAGTTAGTAATGATAATAACAAAATAGCAATGATAATAATGACAATAATAATGATAATAACAATAATAATAATAATAATTCACCAATACCATCATTAATTTCACCAAATGTATCATCTCATTAGTAAGTATAATCTAATTCGAATATAATTATTGGAATTAAAGTACCGTACTATCAGTAAGTCCTTACAGTTAATTTCAAATCAATCTTAGCAAAAAAATGATAGTATTAAAAATAAATTAAAAGATTTAAGAAAAGTGAATAAAGAGATTATTTGTTATTCCGCAATTTTTAATCAATATATATATATAAATACATGAATAACTTTTAGTAATTCATCATTTTTGCCAAATTACTATCATTTTTTTCTCCTTTTCTTTTTCTTTTTTTTCTTTTTACTAAAAAAAGTAATTTCGAAGACATTGGCATGCAAAATATTTCCAAGAAATCATCCATAAATCATACATTAATGGAAATTTTTTAAAATTGAAAAAGGTATATTGTCACTACCATCTTCCTATCTCTGAAAGATAAATTTTGCCACAGAAATGGAAATGTAAAATTAAAAAAACTTTTAAACCGAAATATTTATTATTTTAAAAAAAAACGAAACATTTATAATTTTTTAAACTGGAATATTTATAATTTTTTCCTTCAAATATTTTACAAATTTTATTTTCTATTCATTGAAGTTCAAAATTTGCCAATTCACTTTTCGTTAAATTTTCAGATTTTTGCATTTTATGTTGAATTCGAATTTCATTCTTTTCAAGGAAAAATATATCGCTTTCTTCAAATTGATTAATTTTTCAAGGTCACCTCATTTCAAAATTTCATCATCCTTTATTAATCTCTTTGCTGCTAACAAATTTCTTATAATCCCTTTTTGTTATTGGTATAAAATTAATCAATTAATTTATTGATTATAAAAACGTTAACCACAAAATAAAATAAACATAAATTGGATAAATTTTTGGACTTAAAAAAAAGGACACTTATTTATCCAACAAAAACTTTTCATTTCGTGTCTTGCATTTAACAGTGATAATTACACAAAAATTAGATATCTAATCATATTGATAAAAAATGATAAACTAAAATTTACTATCAGAAACATTGATGTGTTTTCAAATATCTTTAAAATATATCAAATTGCATGACGAAGTAAAAGTAATTTTAATTGAGGAATCAAATTTTAATTACTTATCTCTTGAATAACATTTAAAATTCTTTATCACTTTTTTTCCCCATTTGTTCATATCTGTTCTCCAGTTCTCCATCTGTTCTCCAGAGATGGACAATTAATTTTTCCAAGAGTGTCACATGAGAAATTGGAATGATTTCCGAGGATCGGATTGATATACTTAACTTAGTTCTACCCAATACCGTATCCATATACGTATATGGATTCACTGAAAATGTGAAAGGCCTAATTGCATCATTATTTAATGTTGAGATAATGAATTTGTCCTGAAAGATTAACGGAGCTTAAAATTGGAAGGTTTTGATTCAAGATAAGGGAGAAGCGGAAAGCTTTTGCCCGAGACTTCGCGGGCAGAAAAAACTTGCCGGAGGACCGTTAGATGCCCAGGTCAGCTCTTTCTTATCCTCAGTGTATATGTATATTTATTTAAATGAAAATTTAATCTTACTTTCATAGTTATTTTAAAAACGAAAAAAAATTAAATGAACTTTCAACCTTATTCGAAAAACATTTTATAGTACTGAAAATAAACGAAAAATGAACAAATACATTTGATATTATGTTACAAATTAATGAAAAAAAAGTAAATAAATAAATAAAAATGGAATATTAAAAAGTAACTAAAATTAGTTGAAAATAACAAGTAATATTAACAACAACAACAGGAACAATAATAGCATTAATGATGTGATTTTGATTAATAATAATATCAATGATTCTAATTAATAATAACAATGATAATGATAACGATAACAATGCTAATAGAAATAATTGTGATAATAGTAATTAATAAT